GTAACTTACGTACGTCGTACGTACGTACCGTACCGTTACGTAACTACGTAAGTTACGTAACTAACTAACGTACGTCGTAACGAAACTAGTACTGTGTGTGTGTGTGTGTGTGTGTGTGTGTGTGTGTGTGTATGTGTGTGTGTGTAGTGTGTGTGTGTGTGTGTGTGTGTGTGTGTGTGTGTGTGTGTGTTGTGTGTGTGTGTGTGTGTGTGTGTGTGTGCGTGTGTATGTGTGTGTGTGTGCGCGTGTGTGTGTGTCTGTGTGTTTGTTTGTTTGTATTTGTGTTTGTATGTATAACGGTTACTTCGTAAGATTAGGTTTTGTCGTAATAACAAGGTATAGGGAGTTTATCTAAGATTATTCTAAACTACACGTAGTAGGAGAAAGCTACAGATAGCCGCGCTAACAGAAACGCGCAGTGGTGTCGACGACGACACTGCGAATGCGTAAGTGAATCTCTCACACACTTTTTTTTCTTTTCTATTTGTATCCTAGACACATATAGTTTTAAGTTGAAACACCGATAGTGCAAAAAGCTGGTACATTGAAAGATTATCTCCCACAGACCGCCGTTATGATCTCATTGCGTGCCGAATGTCGGTTTTTCCCCACCACAATCGTGCGTTTCCCCCTAATGCACAATAAAATTCACGCGTGTCAGTTTACGAGAAAGTAACGATGGAATAATTTGTAGCAAGTCGCAAAGTCATAGTTAGAGATGAGTGACCGCGTGAGATGGCTGTTAACACTGTCTCAACTGTAAGGCTTCTGATTCGTCGATCCCGGTCGCGCCATTGTCCTATTTGTCAAGCTGCTCACCGGCCGACGAATCACAATTGCGGTATTTATTAATTATCCAGATATTAATCGTAAGAAACTCGTAATAGAGCTTTTAAAATAACCGTTAATGATTCAATATTAGCCGATATAGGTATTACCGTTCGCTCTAGAACTGTAATTAACTGTATTTGTATGTTACGAGTGGGCACATGAAGCGTAGGGCGCCATTACAAGGTGTCATATTGCTGCTCACATAGGACAATTAATTAACATAAGAAAACAAATATTGCGGTGGAGGGTGGAGGGTGAAGATAAAACATGATGTAAATAAATATTGTCGACACAAAGCTATCACGTAATTTCGCGTTATCATCGCCACACGTTTCAGACCGACTTCCGCATACATAACAAGCCGAAGAGCAAAATTTAATAAAACATTATTAAAAGTACAAAATGCTTAAAGGTCGTGCAAATATGAAAATTATCCTACTATCACTAGCCTACGATCAAAAAGGTGAAAGTCAAAAATACGTTGCATATACTGGTTGTAAGCGAAAAGGGAAGAGACTGTTAGAACAGTACTAATAAAAGGCCATTTTGCGTATCGTATCATATAATGGCCATATTTAAAACACTAAGTGTATCGATCAGGAAAAAGCATGGCGGCCGGCATGTCGCCATGGTAACCATATCGTGTTAATGATAGTATAAACGCCCCGAATATGCCCGCTAGATATTCCCGCCGCTGAGCGAGCCTCTCGGATTTTGCGAATAATCCGTGAAAAACTCGTTTCGTATATACGTCGGGGGTGGGGGAAGAGGAGGAGAAATTTAGCAAAAAAAGTAAAACGTCACCAACTTGCTGCTATTCGTCCTAGTATCGTTAATTACGTAAGTAAAAGTATACGAATAGCGCGTACGAACTAGGTCGTGACGTCACATGCTATTCCACCACTCGCAAACGACTGTTCCGCGCGCGCTCCGTGAACGCTCGTCGCGCCATCTAGTGCGTAAATGTGGAGTCCGCGTAAAGCGGGCAACCGTAATGGAGGGTTTTGAATGGTTTATTGATTAATTGGTATTTATCATTAGAGAATACGATCGTCAAAAGTGAACAAAAAATAGTCACTAAAATGTCGATACAGCCTCGCACGTGTCGGCATCAAAACTAGGTGTTAACGATACATTAACACCACTGAGAAAGTGTGTGTGTGTGTGTGTGTGTGTTTGTGTGTGTGTGTGTGTGTGTGTGTGTGCGTATGTGTGCGTGCGTGGGTGTGTGTGTGCGCGCGCGCGTGCGTGTGTGTCTGTGTGTGTTAGTGTATGTAATGTGCCGCACGTTAAGAGCGCTCGATCGACTTTCATAGTCTTGCACATCGCGCCAAAACAATGGTGCTCGTATAGCATATCGCATTGAAAGCTCTGTGGATCAGTTAACCTAATATTATGATACAATATCGCTAAAACGAACGTGCCTCCCATGCGCATGCGCGGCATACGCCCTATAGTGATCGACGCAACGCTCCATCGCAGCCCGACATCCGTTTCCACTTCCGGGTCCCGGGGAAGGAGGTCGCTACCTGGCTTCTAACTACAGTCTCGCCACCTGGTGGTCGCCACGTCGGATATTTGCTGTCTATACCCTCGTCACCAACGTATTTAGCGTCCCTAGCGACCAGCTCGTCTCGCTCTCGTCGTCTGCCACGTGTCACGTGACATAGGCGAACAAGAGAGAGAGAGAAAGATAGAATAGAATATACGAGAGGGAGAACTAGAACGCAGGAGATAGAGAGCGTGTGTGTGTTTGTGTTTGTTTGTTTGTTTGTGTATGTATGTATGTGTGTGTGTGTGTGTGTGTGTGTGTGTGTGTGTGTGTGTGTGTGTGTGTGTGTGTGTGTGTGTGTGTGTGTGCGTGTGGCGCGGTGCGTGTGTGCGTGGCGTGCGTGCGCGTGTGTGTGTGTGTGTGTGTGTGTGTGTGTGTGTGTGTGTGTGTGTGTGTGTGTGTGTATGTATGTCTGTGTTGTAGTGAGTAAGAAAGAATGAGAGAGAGAGAGTTACGGATGTACCACCCCTTTACGGCATCACGATGGAGCAATAGCTGACATGTCATTGTTTCCCTGCGGTCTTCCCCCGTTGAGGAGCAGGCTTGCGGGCGTGTGTGAGACGCTCACGGCGGATGCCTGCTTCTCATCCCCTTACAGCGCTGATCGAACTCCGCCACACAGTCTCTCCTGCGCATGCGCCGTCTCGCTGGTTCTAGCCTGATTCCACGCGGACTCTCGTGCGTCGAGTTGACGATGCACGCGCCCCGCGCCCTCTAGCTGGGTACTGTCGCCGGACCGCTCTCGCTGCTAGGTGGCGAAAGCGTTTCACGCACGTCGCCGGCACCGGGCCGACTGCTGCTCCGCACAGCGCCATCTATCGGACCGGTTTGCAGTCTCATCTGCTCTGCACGGATTGCAATAATTGTCACCCGCCAGAGCGCGTGGCAGTCGGATTTATTTCTAGCATGTGGGACGTCGCGCGCATCTACGTCTTATCGTCGCTGGGCGTCGTCAAGGTAACGGTGACTTCATCAAGCGGCGACGGCAGCGCCGCTTCGCCGAGCGGCGGATTCTGACCGCTCGACACGCTGTGTCTGGAACTAGAACCGGACGCGCTCGGACGCCGCCTCGACCCGGAGAGCGCCGAGCGCGCGCTGCCGCGGCTCCTCTGAGACGCGGCGCCGACGCTCTGCGCACTGGAGCTCTTCGGCAGCAGCACGGACGCTGCAGAGGGGCGTCGGGAGGAGGGCATTGGCGGCGGCACCCAGCCGCTGTTGCGTCGCTGCTGGAAGGTGCGCCACGCCCTCTGTATGGTGCGCGCGGCGACGATCTGCTGCTGTCGCTCCAGCAGCGTCGACACCGGGTCGTAGTCCTCGCCGCGCTTCGCCAGCATGTCGGTGTCGTCGCCGCCGATCGAGCCGAGGTCGCCCGTCGTTCCGAGGAAGTTCTTCGTCAGCGCGTCGAGTATGTCGACGCAGTGCACGCGGTCGCCGCTGCAGATGGCGATGTTCATCGTCACCAGACTGATGATGTTTGGCTTTGGAATCCGCAGCGGGTCCTCTAGCGCGTCGACAAGGTCGCTGACCATCGTCACGGGGATGTAGTTGGAGCCCTTCACGTCGAACTTCTCCCAGATCTCGTAGTAGACGTCGAAGTCGTCGTCGGTGAGGCCCTCCTGCACGTCCTCCTGCGCCTGCGAGAAGTTTTCGAGTATCACAGCGATGTACATGTTGATGACGATGAGGAACGTGATGACTAGATAGGTGACGAGGAACAGCACGGCGACGCCCGGATTCCCGCAGTTGCCGTACGTTTTCTCATTCGGCGGCGCCTTCGGATCGCAGTCGGGCTCGCCGATAGATAGCGCTGCGAGCACGCCGTCCCAGCCGCCCGACGTCGATATTTGGAACAGGACGACCATCGCCTGCGCGAACGTCTGGAAGTTCAGCACGTCGTCGAGTCCGTACATCGGCTTCGTGAAGGCGAAGAAGCCCATGCCGAACGTGCTGAAGATAAACATGATGAGGAAGAGCAGCATGGCGATGTTGAAGAGAGCCGGCAGGGATACGGCAAGCGCGAACAACAGCGTGCGGATTCCCTGCGCGCCCTTGATGAGACGCAGGATGCGGCCAACGCGGGCGACGCGCACGACTCTCAGAAGCGTCGGCGATACGAAGTACTTCTCGATGAGGTCCGCTAGGAGGAGACCTGCGGTGAAAAGAAGGTCGGTTGTTAAACTAGGACAGTACAGGAAGGAGAGGAAGCAACCGGAGGAGACCTGAAGTGAAAGGAAGATCGATTGCTAGACCAAAGATGGCGGCCACGCACTCACCGGCGATTGACATCACGACTACGACGAAGTCGAACACGTTCCACGGCTGTTTGAAGTAGTGCCATCGCAGACCGATCAGCTTCAGCACGCATTCGAACGTGAAGATACCGATGAAGGTTAGGTTGACGTTGAAGAGGACGTGTTCGACGGTCTTCGTCTGTCCGTAGTGCTCGATGCACATCGCAATCATGTTCAGGCAGATGACGGACATGATGAAGATGTCGAACTTTTGATTGGTCGTCAGGTCGAAGACGAGCGCTTGGATCTTCATCTGCGGGCGGCAAAAGAGATTCGATTCGATTCGATTCGATTAGAATAGGTTACGTACGCCCGTTCGCACGAACGGACAGCCGCCCGCACGCACGCAACCATCTACGCACGCCGGCACGCGCGCAAAAATGCACGCACGCACGCACCAACACACGCGCACCCAGACAACGCAAGTACACACGCATTCATGGACGTCCGCCCGCACGCACGCCGACACGCACGCAAACATGCACGCACCAACACGCACACACAGACCCACCAACACAAGCACGTACACACGCACTCATCGTAACGCCCCATCTCATCATACAGTATGAAGCTCACAGATAAAATCAAAAATCTATAGGTGAAATAAATGGCATAACTAGTTGTGTAAATATTGTAATTTTTGCACTGTTAATTCTTCATCTTCGATTCTGACGCAGATTGCGTCACGGACAGACCGCGTCAAAGACAAATCGCGTCACGGACAGATCGCGTCATGGACAGATCGCGTCATGGACAGATCGCGTCACGGACAGATCGCGTCATGGACAGATCGCGTCATGGACAGATCGCGTCACGGACAGATCGCGTCATGGACAGATCGCCTTACGGACAGACCGTGTCACGGACAGATCGCGTCACGGACAGATCGCGTCACGGACAGATCGCGTTACAGACAGACCGCGTCACGGACAGATCGTGTCACGGACAGATGACAGATCGCGTTACAGACAGACCGCGTCACGGACAGATCGTGTCACGGACAGATCGCGTCACGGACAGATCGCGTCACGGACAGATCGCGTCACAGACAGACCTTTGGCCGCGGGATCGGCTTGCCCGGCTTCTTTGATCCTAGTTTCTTCATAGCCTTGTAGTATTTCTTCTGATCTTCAGTCATGAACAGCTCCAGATTTCCACCTGAAGGAAGAGAATGTAAACTCGGTGATATACCCCTCTAATATCAACCTTCTGACAACAATGACGGTGATATTACGCGTGTGCTCTTATAGATTCTAATCTATAAATCTAATCTATTTAATAATTAAATAATTCAAATATAATTAAATAATTTAATAATAATTCAATATAATTCTAATCTATTGAAGATGTAGGCTCGCTGACCTGACTACCTTGAAACTTTTCGTTTTGTCGTTTTTTATAGGCTGGTTCATATTTCAGGATAAGAAAGTCTAGTAGGCATTTTTTGAGGAAAAAAGGCCAAATAACTTTTTCTAGAATGGTTATTCATGCTGAATACGAATAATTTGTTTGGACATATATTTTGCCTAATTAAGTCAGAAATCAAGGTCAAAAGTCAATAATTAGGTCATATACTATATTTGACCAAAAATGTACGTAATCATGTACTCTAACGGAATAATGAATTTTTTTAACTACTCACCAATAGGGTATGGTAAGCAATTGAATTTGACAATTTAATAGAAAATGTTAAGAAGATTTATCACAAAATAGCTCATATCTCCTTTATTACTCAACATTCCACAAAATCATCACAAGCTCACGGATACATTTCTGTGGCCATTAACTTTGCTGGGATTAACAGTAGATACTGTTTCCAACACCTTTTGGACCGTTTCGAATGTAGATGTGATGTCTTCAGTTTAAGTACTACATTTGGTGGGCATCAAAAAGGGTCAAAACTAGGTCAACTTTTGACCTATGTACAAAATATACAGGTACCGTTGAACACGCGTGTCTAGTTTTTTTGGCTAAGTTACACGTATCTATTCTAAAGTGTGATTCATTTGTCAGTAATGTGAAGTTCTAGACATACCCCCCCCCCACTTGACCCGCACAATCTTTGGAACCTTTGCTCTGTTTTTACGTGTTCCACTTTTCATGGAGTTGTCAACGTAGTGATCAAAGGTCCCATCTATTCTTTTGAAGAATCTCCCAGAAACAAGTACATTTTCAACAAATACATCAGCCAGATCTCCAAAGGTCTTTGCTTCAGCAGGCTTCCCTAGTGCAACAACTACAGCTTGGCCATCAATGACTAGGCAAGAATTGGACGGGTCAACGTTAATCTTCGATGGACAAACAACATCTTTGGTGATGACATCTGCAAGGATAGATTTTGAACCAGTTCTCAGACTACCGTCATTATTGGCAATACTTATCGGGATCTTCATCAACTCGTGCTGTAGTACCTTTTGTAGGTCTACTTTTCGGCCTGCTTGGAAAGCTGTGATGAGTCGCTGCAGTATTGTCCTATCCGCCTTAAGGGTAGTTACCTTTCCCTTCACGTCACTATTGCTCACTTCATATAGTGATTTGAATGTCAGTGGATTGGATTTCTGCAATCGATCTCTGAATTTGACAGTAGAATTCACCAGCCTTTCTTCAACACAGGTGTCCAACTTTGACTGTCCAAGCACCTCCACGCAATGCAAGTTCTCTTGGATTTCAGGGGTTGCGGCGTCGTTGGTTGCAATGCTATGAAGGGATTTACTGGGACCATCAGCTGGTGTGAATATCAACTGTCGCAGTACCTTCAAGATATTGCTTTCATCTGAATTGTCCCTCTTGGTTTTGGCTGGTGTTGCTTCAAAATGTTGTGGATGATTGCGTTGTTCCCGACATTAAACATGTGCCGCGTTTGTGTCGATATTTGCGCCCTGAAATTGAATGAAAGGGTCCATCTCGTCAAGGCAGTGTTCGTCTTGGTGATACCCACAATACCACCACCTCGTTTCTCAGTTCCATTTAACCACTCCTGGCTATGGTCAGGTTCGACCTGGTTGAACTTCCTGCCTGACCATTCACAACAAAATTTCCCTTCAGGAACTTTTCTTCCACAACTTTTGGGAGGTTTCTCATTTCTTCAAGATACACACATCCCCATCGAGCGTAGTTGGTGTGGTCATATCGATAAAAGTATGGTAGCATGTCCCGGAAGGCACTAAGGTAAAGTTCCCATAAGCCGTCTCTCTGAGCTCTCATGAACCTAAGTAGGATGTTTACCATCTCGATATACTTCCACCAGAATTCGAAATTGTGACTGACTTGTCTGCTGTCGACAAATGCTGCTAGACTGTTCTGAAATCGAGATGATGCGACTACCGAGATTAATGCTTCGTAGTCATACTGATTACTTGGGTTCGCCACTGCACCTATCAGTTCATTCAAATTAGGATCTTGTCATCCAGATACGAGACAAACATAGAATGCAAGATTTGCCAGAGAGCTTGCACTGTGAGTTTGTGAGCACGGATCCCTTTCGCATAGGATGTGCCATCCATCACTTTTTCGGCAGAATTTATCCCAAGTAACCCACTTTTCACCCATACTTGGACCAATCCAGAGTCAGTCATGCGTTGCCCTAATACCTTCAGGAAGTTGGCCTGGTACCACCTGGCCTTGGTATCAACATTTGATACTCAGGAACCTTCCATTTAAGTTTCATAAGGCCAGGGATCGAAGAGTGCCTGATCCAGTGTTAGGACGCGTTTGGTCAAGTGATTCCGCAACATTAATAACTCTTCTGACCACAGTATTCAATGTTGACAATTCATGAGCAGGTGCCTGAATGATTAGCATGTACCCAACGATGGTTTTTGGAGGATTTATTTTACTGTGCCTTTTACTGAATGCGGTCCAGGATGGCTTGGGTTCCTGGTTTTGGTGCACCAATAAGAAGGCTAGGTCTGCTGCTGATGCCTTTGATTTGGGTACATCAACACTGGGCTTCTTAAACATATCTGCATTCACATTTGTCATTTTTGGTTCTGTTGAGCCTCTGGGGAAGTTGACAGGAATAATTGTCTCCAATGCATTGGGTACTTCAAGTGTGACTTTATCAGATGGCCTAATGTCTGCCAAAACGCTATCAAGAGCAAGCCCCCCCCCCGACAGGTCCCCTTTGCCATGCTACAACTTGTGTTAGTGGAAAGTGTTTTTTCCATCCAAGGTGAAATCATTGATATCTATGTTATCTGCTGAAAAGTGGGTGAATACACCAGCTACCAAGTTGGGGGAAACAACTGACCCCGTTTCCTGGTCCATACTATTCAATGTTACCTCAGCTAAAGCAGTGTCAACACGTAGTATGTCTCTATAGCTAGCAATATTCCCAGCATTATAAAACATTTCTACAAGTGATTTTGATCTGGTAGCTTAATGCAGTGTAAGGCCAAGACCTACATGTTTCGGGGAAGTTTTCCTTTTCCCAGATACATTGAACACTATATCTTGGCCTATGCTGAGAACCCTAGACTGAACAACAGATTCTATTATATTTGACATCCCGAAACTTCTTTCGTAAGTGAGTTGCATTCTTCAGAGTTTCCAGGTTTTGCGGGGCTGCAGTAAACACATCGTCATTCTTTGCCTCTTGACAAATTATGCACTGATGAAGGGAAACATTAAGGGCACGCTTCAGGTTGACAACTAGGTCCATGGTTGCATTGAGAGCAGCAATAATGGGTCCATGGTTGCATTGAAAGCAGCAACAAGACACTAGAATTCAGCAATAGACTCCATTCCTTGCAGGGTAATGGCAGGGTTGTGTGCATGTTGTGTATGCACTCGTTGTTCCATTCGCATTGTTCGCTTGTACGCATTGTTTTTTTTTCACAAGACATCAAATTTACATTCGAAATGGTCCAAGACGTGTTGGAAACAGTATATAGTGTTAATTCCAGCAAAGTTAATGGTCACAGAAATGTATCCGTGAGCTTGTGATGATTTTGTTGAATGTTGAGTAATAAAGGAGATATGAGCTATTTTGTAATAAATCTTCTTAACATTTTCTATTAAATTGTCAAATTCAATTGCTTACCATACCCTAGTGGTAAGTAGTTTAAAAAAAATTGTTCATTATTCTATTAGAGCACATGATTATGTACATTTTTGGTCAAATATAGTATATGACCTAATTATTGACATTTGACCTTGATTTCTTACCTGATTAGGCAAAATCGAGATGTCCAAACAAATTATTCGTATTCAGCATGAAAAACCACTCTAGAAAAAGTTATTTTTCCTTAAAAATGCCTACTGGACTTTTTACAGGCACATTTCTGGATTGATATATATAATTATTATGGTGTATCCCGCTGTTTCTCGCCTTTATTTTAGTTAATCGTAATGCCTCTTTGCTTCAATTTTAAGCAGAGTCAGAATTCAATAAACATTATAATTGTCTGTGATGATTTAACCGCAATAGTTACACAGCAATAATATAACCGTTATACATAGATATGATAGAGATTCGATTATTTATATTTATATGATTTGAAATTCATTTTATAGCATTACGCACAACCGCAAACAATCAATACTATAATGGACATGCGTGAAGAAGAGGCCTGGACAGCTTCTACGGGGCACAGCTCTACTGTATATATTACTCCATGCGGGTTTGATTTGTTGTTTTATCATGTAAATCAATCAATAAAATGATGGGATAATAATCCATAAGAACAATACTTAATGGGTCCACGAATTATAGGTAATTAAAGTAATCTTTACCCATTTTCCTCTTCTGCGCGTTGAAGTTGTCGATGATGACACCGATGAAGAGGTTGAGAGTGAAGAAAGCACCGAACACGATGAAGATGACGAAGTACAGATACATGTACACCTGGTTGTCTTCTTTCGGCTGCTCCTCTTGCTGCACAGGTAATAATTAATCAACGTAAACATCGGTTGTGACAAAAAACCTCAATTTGCCGACAGCTGGCCCGATTATATGAGGAATGATAATTAATTAATGAAATTAAAAGCAATTATAACGACGAAAATAATTACAGTTTTCATTTTTAATACTTAATTTTACAGGTTTAATTTTCAATACTTATTATTAATAATAATTATGACTAACGATGTGATTTAATTGATTGAATATATTATTAGTATGCATGATAGCTAAGGAAAGGTATAAAGGAAATAAAATTAAAAAATTAAATAAAGTTATACAATAATAATTGTGTTTTATAGCGGCCGTTATTTAATCGAATGGTCATTTATTTTTGACTCTTATCTCGTCGACACACACACCGTCTCAACGCATTTATCGCATGACAACTTTTCTCAACAAGTTCGTCATGTATGCGGATTTGCAGTAGTTTTTCACTAGATTTCCCTTAATGTGTCACTGGATTTTCCCTAAATTTTTATTAGAAATTTTATTAGATTTTCGTTAGAGGTTTGCTAAACGTTCACGGTGTCTCTGTGGTGTCCATGCTGTACATACCCCAACGGCATCGATGGCGTCATACATGATAGTTATCCAGCCTTTCCACGTTGCCTGCAAACAACACGCAGCAAAGATTAACACGGGTGGTTGTCTATGTGAGGTATGGGGCGGATGCAATATGGAAACAGAGCGTTAATTTTTTTTTAATTTATAATTATATATAATCTATTTATTCCCAAATTTTCAAAAAATACTGGCGATGAAGGCGCGTGTAGCACCCACACGTTGAACCCCCACTCCTCCACCACCCCTTCCCTCACCCCACCCTCACCTCACCCTCACCCTCACCCCACCCCTCGACCACCTCTTCCTTCACCCTCACCCCCACCCTCACCCCACCCCTCCACCATCCCTTCCCCCACCCCACCCTCACCCCACCCTCACCCTCACCCTACCCCTCCATCACGCCTTCCCTCACCCCACCCCTAGCAGCACGTACCACTTGCAGCAGGGCCAGGTAGGCGTTGCCGACGTTGTCGAAGTTGACGGCCGCGTTCACCCACGTGTAATTCATGGTGCTCTCCAGCAACAGACACTGCTCTTTCGTCTGCACGATGTCGTAGCTCAGCTTGATGCCCTCGATGTCGATACATTTGAAGAACTTTCCGCCGAAGAACTGCACGCCCATGATGCAGAAGATTAGCCAGAAGACGAGGCAGACGACGAAGACGTTCGAAATCGATGGTATGGCGCCGATCAGCGCGTTGACGACGATCTGGTAACGACGGACGCCGAGCAGAGCAGACGAGTTATTGTTTATTTATTTATTTTTTAATTAATTAATTAATTAATTTGTTTATTTATTATTATTATTTATCATTTATAATAATAATGTAATTAGCGTTGCTATGGACGCTACCTTCATCCCTTCCCAGCGCGACACTGCTCGTAGCGGGCGCAGGGCGCGCAGTGTTCGCATCGAACGGAAGGCACTCATGTTAGAAAGGCTTTCTATGTATTCTGCTGCCAGGTTGACAAATGATATCTAGAATGCAAAGAGATAACACATATTACTAATATATATATATATATATATATATATATATATATAAAAATTATAGGTATATAATATAATCAGGCGTTCCAGAAAAATAGTGTTGTAAGCGCGAAAATTTCGTAATGCGAACCACATTTTAGGATATACTTCCATATACATCATTAACATATGGGCCATCGAAAATCTATCAGATAATTCCCCAAACAAATTTTTTTACAATCGCACGCGCAGCATCACCACAATGCGCCACTGGCGCAGGGAGTAACTATGTGCGAGATCCCCCCTTCGTTCCAGATGTATCGCGCGTCGGTGGCGCTCACGCGATCACGAATGGTGCAAGTCGAGCCAACACAGGGCTGTCCGCTGAGTCTACTTGCTTGAAGCGAACGAGACAACTTGACGAAACATTTCGATCGGCGAAGATGATCGTGAAGAGCTTTGTCAGCGCACAATCATTGTCGTCCACGAGCCACGGACGGTGTGCAGGTAGACGTCCTCCAGGCCATGTCGCGCGAGAGGAACACAGTTAGCGCGGCGGCGACGTGGCGGGTGCGGGTCCAGACGATTGTGGGACCCGGACCTGTGAGTCAGCAATGCCGTAGCTTCAATTTTTTTTTAAGTATTTTTTTAGGATGACAATCGTACATTTTGATCGATCAAGTAATTAAATTAAAATATAAATTTGAAATTATTTAATAATATAATTAATATAGTATAAATATTTTTGTATACAGTTTAATATAGGTTTAGTGTATATTTATACACTATATAATATTATATATTATATTATATATAAATATAATAATTGATATAATGATTTAGTTGTAATAATAGTCAAGAGTCATCGAATAGATATTCTATTAATCGGCTCTTGAATATATAGTATATATCCGTATTCACGTAATGGTTGGATGCAGAATCAGATTGATATACTTACCGGACGCGCCTGCTGATTATAATACAAGGAAGATGATGAAGTTTCGGAAGTATTGTGTGCACGCAGCATCCAGTTCATCTTGCTGTTCGCCATTTCTACCACCACTGGCAGAACGGTCTATCCATTGTTGACGAACGCAGCAGGGACCCTGTGTGCAGTATAGTGTGTGAGCGAGGGAAGCGAAACAGATGACGAGATAGAGCGAAGAGGACAGAGAGAGAGAGAGAAGGAAGGGAGAGAGATGAGAAGAGAGATGAGAGTGGAGAGAGAGAAGAGAGAGAGAGAGAGAGAGAAGGGAGAGAGAGAGAGAGAGAACCATGGTTAGTTTGATGAATTTTGCATTGCATGTGATTCTGCCGGTTTTTTATATATTTTTTGTATCTTTTCACGTAGTCCATATATCTATCTTCTATCTTTTATTTTCTATATATATTTTTCACCTGCACACACGGACAGCTATACCTGTACATGTGACAGGTGAACTTAACTGTAAGACGCACCCAGGTACGAACACCTGCACACACGGACAGCTATACCTGTACATGTGACAGGTGAACTTAACTGTAAGCCAGTTACGAACACCTGCACACACGGACAGCTATACCTGTACATGTAACAGGTGAACAGTTACGAACACCTGCACACGCGCGCGCACCGGCCCTACCCTCGACGTGCAGGGCGACGGAGAAGCAAGGCTCCGGCTCGTTGTTCTCCTCCTCCTCCTCCTCCCCCTCTACCCCGGCGGCCGCTTCGTTGCCCTCCTCTTTGTGGGAGCCGACGATGGACGTCTTCTCCCCGCGTTCAATCGACTCGAGGCTTGGAGACTTTGGGGGCGTCTCCTTATCGGCACTTCCCATCATTTCGTCGCGCGACGTGCACGAAGACGACGACTTCGACTTGTTACTCTTGATGTCGTCCGACATTGACGCGATCGCCTCCTGACTGCTCTTAGTCTGCCCGTTCTGCGTCTGCGGGGGCGAGAGAGAGAGACGACGACGACGATGATGATGATGATGATGACGACAACGGCGATGATGACGTAGTATAGTAATAATAATAATAATAATAATAATAATAATAATAATAATAATAATAATAATAATAATAATAAAAATAATAATCAATAAGTAAGTAGTAGTAGTAGTAGTAGTAGTAGTAGTAGTAGTAGTATAGTCAGTAGTAGTAGTAGTAGTAGTAGTCAGTAGTATAGTAGTAGTTAGTATTAGTAGTATTAGTAGTAGTAGTAGTAGTAGTAGTAGCAGAAGTGGCAGAAGAGGAAGAATAAGAAGAATAGGAAAAAAAATAAGAAGAAGAAGAAGAAAGCAAAAGAAGAGATGGAGAAGGAGGAGAGCGAAAAGGAAGATGAGGAGGAAGAGGAGGAGGAGGAGGAGAAGAAGAAGAAAGAAGAATGAGAGGGAAAGATGAGGAAGAGGAAGATGGGGAAGAGGAAAAGGAAGAGAAGAAGCGAGTACGTGAAACCGTGTAATCTCGATGCCTATTCTACCTTTTCGTAATCTCTGGGAGATGCTATCACAGTCTTCTTCTCGTTCAGTTGCACACACGTGACGCTGACGTTGTTGGCTGGCCAACCTTCTGAAACAATTCACAGTAACGTATGATCTGCCAACAAGTGCACGGTTCACACCTTACCAATTGTCAACAAACCAAGTGTCAATGGTCAAACATTGAAAACAATTGTCAAAAATTCTCAACCAATCGTCAACAATTGTCAACATTGTCAACAAATTCTCAAACCAATTGTCAACAATTGTCAGCAAACCAATTGTCAACAAACAAACTGATGACAAACAAATTCACAGCGAACTTACCCCTGTCGAGGTCTGAGCAATATCCACGTAGGAATTAGGACAGCGGGAGTGTCGGACAGCCGGGTTTACTAAGACATACATGACATACACGCACGCACGCACGCACGCACGAAGGCTGGCACACAGTACACGCTAGACACATACAAACACACACACACACACATTACACCGCGACGCACCACGCCGCACGCCACGCACGGACACGCACGCACAACACACAACGCCGCGCGCGCGCCACACACACAGCACACACACAACACACACACACACACACAAAACACACACACACACACACACACACACACACACACACACACACACACACACACACACACATATATATATATGTATATATATGACACAAACTCCTCATGGCTGTTTAGACACTGGTCTCACATTTGGCTATACTATCTCTGTAGTTACAAAGAGAAATACTGAGAGACGCTATAAGCGCAGGGGCGTAAATATGTACGGGACACAACAACAACAGCAATAACAAATTAAAGGTATGACATACGATATGCAGCTGCATTCCTTCCGCTGGCGATTCGGAAATAAATAACTACCGACATTAAACGAATACATTCGTGAAATAAATGTTGAAAGTCAATCAGATCTATCGCATCGAGCATGCGAACGATTACATCGTCACATTGTGCTTGTTATGTAGCAATCGTGCGGTACAGACATGAGCCCTAACGACCCTTTTAGCGGATCGTCACGTGCGCGTATGCCAAACTTTATGACAGATATCACCGGTGACTGTGTGTGTGCTAGTGTTTACGCATGCGTGTGGATACGGTACGCGTTCTCTTACACGCGTTCCACTAGTTTTCCTAATATGCTTACCACCCATGACTAAACACGGGAAAGCGTGAGTGCCCGTGTTAGAAAACCTCTAATAGCATAGAAACACGGCACACGAGTTGCTTCTAGGAATCCACAGTCCGTTAAAATCCCCTCACACATATACACACGCGTACGTGTGCACACACGCACACACGCACACCAACACACACGCACGCACGCACACACACGCACGCACGCCACGCCACACTCACACACACACACACACATACACACACACACACACCACACACACACACACACACACACACACACACACACACATATATACCGTGGTATCTGTGTTTCGGAATCCCGATAGCAACCACGTATGAAATACGACCACACACTGCGTTGATCTACCTGCACTACGCCACGACCACAGAATGCGTACGGATATCTCTACCTATGTAGTCCCTCGGCTCGGCTGAAGCTTAACGATTTACACAGGCATAGCTTGCCCATGTAGACGACATGCACGCATACTTATATAATAGATAGTTTCACCTAGAGTATTATGTTCCACAGCGAAGACTCTAGCGTAACATCTAGCGTACCGGTAGATACGATAGGCTAGATGCTAGATCTACTACGATAGGCTAGATCTACCTACCGGTATCTACGATAGGCTACACGGGTAGATCTAGCGTACTATAACGGGCAGCAAGCACGAGGCAGTGTATTTACTCGCCTGTCGTAATAGGGGCTGCCTCAACTAAGGCCTACCGAAAAATAAGCCCGCCGAAGAATAGGGCCCGCCTTCACTAAGGCCTGCCGCAAATAGGGCCTGCCGTAAATAGGGCCTGCCTCCACTAAGGCAAATAGGGCCTGCCGTAAATAGGGCCTGCCTCCACTAAGGCAAATAGGGCCTGCCGTAAATAGGGCCTGCCTCCACTAAGGCCCGCCGAAAAATAAGGCCCGTCGCCGATGGCTTGTCGCGTGAACACAGCGACGAGTGGGATGGCGGTGCCCAGGGTTGGGTTGTCACCACGGGTTGTCACCCAGGGTTAGGGTTGTCACCACGGGTTGTCACCCAGGGTTGTCACCCAGCGTTGGGTTGTCACCTTGCGCACCTTTCTTAACGTTGTTAGGCAAGCAATCTATGTCGTCTTTCGTCGCATCACGGTCTTTGCTATTTTGTGCTTTCAGTCGCACCTCACCGTCGGCTAGAACCTCGCAAGCTATGCTATCTACTTGATTACCTACGAATAAAAAAACAAACGTAATGGGATGGAGAAAAAAATCGTAATCCGACGCCATCTAAGAAACGAAATAAAAACAACAACAACAACAACGGTCGATAAATAATCGAATCCGTAAATAATCGATCTTCGTAAATAAACGTCGAACGGCAAGACAGATAGACGATCGAGCATCGTGTGCATGCGCGCTACGAGTTGCACGCGCGCGCGCATGCGCACACATCTACGGCGTTCGGGAATGAAATACGGGATCAGGCAAACGAAACGGACTTTAAACACGGGACTGACAACGACGACGACGGGGACGATGACGATGACGACGACGACAGGGACGATGACGATGACGACAGGGACGATGACGATGACGACTCTAGCGACAGGGCAGTGTCTGTGGTAGGTATGTCGCATATAAGGTAAGGTATATAGATAGTGGGATCATAGTTTGTAGGCTGTTGGTTGGATGGTATCCGTAGCTGTGTGCACGCGCGTGGGTGCGTGCGTGCGTGGGTGCGTGCGGGCGTGGGTGCTCGGGAGCGTGTACATGCGTGTGCGTGCGCGCGTGCGTACACGCGTTGGTGTGTGTGTGTGTGTGCGCGCGTGTGAGTGTGCGCGCGGGCGTGCGTGTGTGCCTGTACATGCGTGCGTGTACGTGCGTGTGCGTGCGTGTGTGGTGACACTGACCAGATTTGACGGCTGCGACCTTGTGATCGTGTGACCTCGGCTTGGTCTTGGATTTAATCGACCGTAGCATCCACGCTTTCGTAAACGCGACGAACCTAAGAAATGCGTGAGAGAACCCATGAGAGATAGATAATCAGTCTGTTCTGCTAGCATCTATGACAAATACGACATACGCATATACGCTCTCCTATGACACTATTTAGGTAGTGGGATCATAGTTTGTAGGCTGTTGGTTGAATGGTATCCGTACACACACACACACATACACAGATTCTTCCTATGACAAATATTGGCGAGTCAACTTTGTTCCGCTTTACAGCTGAAATTCACTGCTTGCGTTCATAATAGCGCTCCTAAACTCCTATGATGCGCACAACACATGCAACAATATTTGTCATAGGAAGAATCTTCCTATGACAAATAGTATCATAGGAGAGCGTATATGCGTAATTGTCACAGTACTACTATGCGTAATACTATGTCGTATTTGTCATAGATGCTAGCAGAACAGGCTGGATAGATAATAATAACGCCTTCTATCCATCGCACATCAATAATTGTACCTAAGTAATATATGCAAGTCTAACCTACATTATACTGTATTCCCAAAACTCATTATGATATACCGTCCACTGTCGACCATTATAACAAATTATACACCAATTCTATATTATATAGCAATATAATATTATATTATAACGACCACTACTAACCATTATAACATATTTATATACGAATTTGATATTATGATTTATATATATAAATAAACTAATTGTTTATTTTATTATAACGGCCACTAATATAACAGCCGGTATAATACATTACATACAGATATTATATCATATAATATTATATACCTCTTGATTCTGTCGATCGCCTCTTGTAGTTTGTTAGGTTCCGTGTCCTCCGACTGGATAAATGTATCACCCGAAAAGGAGCTGAGTAGCAGAGCCAAGAACAGATTGAGCACCTATAAACACGGCAACGGAGAGAAACGAACCCACGCTTAGTGTTGTTGTAGAGGCAGGGCCGAAGGCCGAACAAATTCCTACCAGGAAACCCATAGGAAACACATCGGGGGCATAATTTTATGACTCAACTGTGTAATGATGAGCGACGGGCGCAGCTCTTGATCGACGTCCATAGCGTGGTATAGGGGTGGGTCTGAGACAAGGCTTTCACGGATAAGTGACAAAAAAATCACGTTAGGGTTATTTACGATTATTAGCTAAGCATATATTTTAATTTTGCAACCCACCCGCACACCCCCACACCCACACCCACCCGCACACACACACACACACACACACACACACACACACACACACACACACACACACACACACACACACACACACACACACACAC